CTTCTCACCTGGAGGCTCTTCCACACCGGGTGCCCCCCCCCCCCCCCCCCCCCCCAGTGTCAGGCCTGTAGTCCCCCATTCAAGGATTCTGACCCCAAAACTCCTCCTGACCCTGATCCAGCTGCCTCACCCTTCGGATCCGATCTCGCGCAGCGGGAAGCTGCGCAACCCCAGCACCAGTACGGCAGCCTCCCCCGGCAGTAGCAGCTCCAGGTCGCCCATGTTGTGGCCGGGGACCGAGAGCGGGAAGGCAGGATTCAGCTGACCCTGGGCAGCAGCCGACGCTGAAGTGAGGGTGCTGAAACTCTTCAGGACGACCGAGACTCGCAGGGTCGACGTCTTGGATACAGCCGTTGCGGAGTGGTTGGGGCGCGTGGGTCCGCGCCGCCATGGAAACGGTTAGTCCAGCGCCTGCGCGCGCTGCGCAGGCTCCGGCCCCGCCCCCGCCCCCCTCGCTTTTCCGGCTGCAGTTAGCCCTCTTTGGACTCCCAGAACTTTCTCCTTCACCGCCTGCGGCTCACGGGTCTGCCCTGAGTACCGGACTCGGGTGGCCTAGGCTTCCTCCTAGGACATCAAATCGACCCGCACGGGGATGGGGTCACCTCGCCCCCACCAGCTCTTCCTGCAGCAGCTCTACCTCGGCTGTACCGCTTCTGCGTGGTTTCCTGCCTCCAGTATGTCTCCTGCCCGACTCCACCTGTTGGCTCTATCCCCTAAAGTACTGCCCAGTGCCCACGTCTCTCCATTCTAGCCTAGCAGGCTGCCAGCACATGTCATGAAGTAACTGCTGTAGTCTTTTTCTAGGTGACTCTGTGGATGCTTCTAGTCCTCGAAATAATGCCCAAAGCAGCTTATCAGCAATTCTGCAGTATTAAGGTCTTGCCCCTTCCTTACCTCAGTACTTCATCTGTTGTCCCTCTCCCCATTGCTTCCCATGTTTCAGCCCCAGTGGGCCTCTCTTGGGTTCCTTACACATTTTTTTTTAAAATGTTTATTTATTTTTGAGGGGGGGAGAAGCAGAGAGAGAGGGATACAGAGGATCTGAAGTAGGCTCCTGCTGACAGCAGAAAGCGTGATGCAGGGCTCCAACCCACCAACCGTGAGATCATGACCTGAACTGAAGTTGAAAGCTTAACCGGCTGAGCCACCACCACCTGAGCCACCCAGATGCCCCAGGTTCCTCATACATCCTAAAGTTGCTTTTACTTTGCACCTGTTCCCTCTGCCTGGAATACTCTTCCTCCTTCAGGCCTCAGTTCAAGTCACCTCAGCGAGGCCTTCCTTGCCCATTTAATCCAGGACAGCCCCAGCTCCCACCCCAAGTCATTCTTCATCACAGCTTCCTGATTGTTTCTTTCTGGCTGTTATTTCAGTTTATAATTACCCAGCACATTTACTTGTCCATAGCCAGTCTTGCCCACCAGATGGCGCACCAGGGTGCCAGGACCTCAGCTATTTCACTGCCAGTTCTCCAATGGCTGGTTTAGAGGCGGTACTCAATAAAGACAGGTTGAAACGGGTGATTTTATTCACAGAAGTGAGGGTCAACCTTGAGACAATATGGACTAGTCTACTGGTCTAGCCCTCATGTACCAGGCAAGGCTTAGCAGGACAGAGTAGCCACAGCCATGTGCCTAGACCAGGCCACCCCAGTCTCACTTCCAGCAGATGATGATGTTGGGGTCATTTTCCAGCCGTTCATCAAGCTCGTGGTAGCTCATGCCTATTTGGGACAGTGCAGGTGAGGTGAGTAACCATGACTTGACCACCCTGCCCTGCCCCAACCTTAGCTGAGCTGCCTGCCCCCACCTGTTTTGCAACAGATTTCATCGTAGCTGTGGCAGCCTGTGTAAAGCCGGGCAGGATGGCTCCGCTCCTCCCGAGACACCCGCACAGGATACTTCTGTAGTCGTCGGATGAGGTTCTTCATAAGCCCGAACTGGATAAGCTTCCTGGGGTGGGGTTGAGGGAGAGGGGGATGATGCCCTGGCCAGGACTTGCTCCAGCCAGGCCAACTCTTTCCTGCAGTCTCCCTTCCCATTTCGTCTCAGTGACCAGACTGGCCTCCAAACACATCATCTCCAGAAAGCCTGCCTGGACTAGCAGTGCCACATGATTCTGCTCACTGGGAATCTCCTGATTCCTCTCTAACCCGGGGCTCCAGAGAGATATAGAGTATCTGCCTTCAGGCAAACCCCTCATGCCCCTGGGAATCCCCTTCTGACCGTTCATCAACGCGCTGCAGCTGCTGGGGGTGGCGGCCAATGAGGTCTCTCACAGTAGTGCCAGGGCTCAGACTGCAGTACAGCTGGAACACATCCCGGAGACTGGCCCTCTTGTGCCCTGTGGGCACCAGGGGTCAGATCTGCTTGTAGCTCTGCCCTCCCCAAGATGGCCTCCCCGAGAGCCCGCCACTACCTTGCTTGGTCACATAGGATAAACATGCTTCCTGCAGGGACTTGTCATCTACCAGGTCCTGGACCTTGGGTGTCGGGCAGTACACATTGGAATACTGGAAGGTAGCAGGAGGCACAGGGGGCTCAGTGAGGGGCTTGGAACTCTGACACAGCCCCAGTCTGGCCAAGCCACATGATCCACTCTCTGCTTAACCAGACCCCAGACTCACCTACCTGGAGGATGGACACCAGTGTCACAACGCCATAATACCTGGGGGAGATAGTTGTGCTCAGCTTCTGAGGGCCATGCCTTCCCAGCCCCCACACTCAGGGTCCCAGGGCTCTTTCCTGGCTAGCAACCCTGTCCTGAGTGTGACTGTTGCTGCACTTACAGCAAGTTCTGGATGGCAATGCGCACCAGGTTTAACTCCACATCTGCCTCTGCTGAGATCTTCTGGACATGGCGGAAGCCGTCAATGTAGGGCAGGATCTGGGCAGGGCAGGGCAGGGCAGGGTCAGCAGGGATGGGGTGAGGCCAGGGCTGTGGCCAGCTCTACGTGATGATACCCAGGTTGGGCTAGCACACCTGTTGTGTGGTGAGGTCCCACTGTGAGTTGAAGAAATCCTCCTTGTCTTTGGTAAAGACAGGCACATCATACTCCTGGGCCACAGGAGGGTCAGGTCGCTGCTCAATCACCTTCAAGTGGATGGTGTTGGACTCATCTGCAGGGGACCCACCCATATCTTCAGTGTCATCTCCTTTAAGAGGCCCTCAATTACCCTCCGGTCCTCCCAGAAGCCCTTGATGGAGATGGGTAGCTCTGGGTAGGGCCAGTCTCCCCCTTCCCCTCTACTTTAAACTCTATGCCTAATGTGGAGCCTGAACTTACGACCCTCAGATCAAGACTCACATGCTCTACTGACTGAGGCAGGCAGGCGCCCCAAATCTTCCCCTTTCATGGAAGAAGAGGTAGGTCCAGAGAGGGAAAGGAATATGCCCAAGGAACATGAAGCATGGCCTCCAAATCCTAAATCCTAACATGCACTGGACCTTGGACATCATCAAGCCAGCTCATGGCTATTTATTGGCCACCAATTTGTTCATTAGTCTTGTCCATGGCTGGGCTTGCCTTCCCCTGCTATGTTCCTATTCTTCCTCTACCCCTTTGCTGTCCTTGCAAAGGCTGGGCCATACCGATGGGCAGAGTGCACCGGCCTGAGGCATTTAGCTCCTCCAGCAAGATGGTCATGATGGGCACCAACTTCTGCTTGCTCTCCTCTGTTGACACGAAGCTGCTCTCTAGCTGAATGGAGCATGGACAACATGGTGGGCACACCCTGGGACCCCTGGCCAGCATCCTGCCCTGGCAGATTCCTAGGTCTGGAGGGCTTTGGAAACATTTGTCTGCCTGCCCATCCACTCAAGCCCATTGTGTTGCAGACCTCCAGTGTGGTCAGGTAGCCAGCCAGCTTTTTGACGATGGGCTCAAGGGCACAGGTCTTAGCCTGAGCATCACACACGAAGCCTAGGTTGAAGAGCAGGGCATTGCGGCTGTACTTCTTGTGCTCGATGCATACAGGGCAGCCGATCAGTTTCTTCTCCATGGCTGTGCTGGATGGGGGGAACAGGTGGGAACAGAGTCAGGTTCTTTCTGCTCCCAAACTTGTCCTCTCCTCCTGGGACATCCCCCGCCTTCCCCACTAGGGCCTCACACAGTGATAAGCTTGTTCTGCAGCTCTGGCTTGGTGATGATGTACACTTGGACTGTGTCAAACAGCTCCCGGGAGATGAAGTCTTCAGGGACCTGGGAGGCGGAGTGGCAAGAGGCCCCTTGGTGGACCTTGGGACTAGGCATAATACCTTGGGGGACCCCCAAGGACTAAGCCCTCCTGTCCAGCGTTTCACCTCTCTCCCATCCACCCAGGCCTACTACTCCTTTGTGTTTCCAAACACACTCCAGGTTCTCACCTGCCTCCCGTCTTTTGCATATGCTGTTTCCCCTACCTGGCACACACTCGCCTCCATCTAAATTCCTAAGCATCCAGGGATACTGTAGGACCGCGCATCCCTACCTCTCTTGGGAACTGATACCTCCTCTGGGTCCCCACAGCCCGATTTCTCACAGTCACTGTCTATGGGATGTTTGTTTGCTCCCCAACACTGGGAGCCTGGGACCTGGGTCTGAGTATTCTCTCGGTTAATGATTCTCCATGAATGAAGGAGTGGTGTGACTGCGTGCAGCACGGGGCACGGGAATCCTCTGCTTCCAGGCAGCCTGCTTGAGCTCGCGAGAGCGTCCCTCTCCCGGTCCCCCTCTGCCCCCAGCCCCGCGAGCCCGGATGGCACCTGATAGGTGATCTTGGGTCCCAGCGTGGGGTGGAACTCGCTGAAGAATATGCATTCGATACGGCAGCCGCTGCCCATGGCGCCAGCAGAGCCCAGGTCTGTAGTCTCTGACGGCTGGACCCCCTGCGAACACCCGTCGGAAACAGCCCGAAGGCCTGGATGGTGGATCAAGCGCGCTTGCGCACTCACACCCGTCACGCTGTCTGCCCAACGGCGCCTGCGCAGCATCAGAGGTGTGGCGCGGGGGTGGGGAAGCTTGTCCCAGGAAGTCCCGGGTAGGTAGACGTCGCACCCGGAAGTAAAGCGGCTCCGCGACGGAGCTGCAGTGCGCGCGACAGGGGCCTGAGTATCCCGCTTTCTTGGGAAGAAACCACCAAGTCGGGTCAGTGCTGCAGGTGAGGCAGGCGAGTCCCTAGCATGTAGGGTCAGCATGCCAGCGGCACGTGGGGAGACTGTGCGCGAAGGGATTCAGGCTGTAAAGTCGGGAGCAGATGGGAACTACAATACCCGTAGCGCTTCACGCGCTTCCTGCTGGCGCTCCCGTCCGGCGATGGCGTGGTGCACGCTGGGATTTGTAGTCTATTACTCGGCCTTGCGCATCCTACCTGGAAGGTGGGCCAGTGATCAGTGCCAGTTCAGATACTGGGTACACGCTGACAGGCTGCCAGCCCTCGCCTACTTCTTGGAAGAGAGTGGCATTCCTGCCCTGCAACCCTTGCTCCAGTGTGAGGAGTGGACAGCAGGCACTTGAGACCCTTGCTCATTCTACTATGCTTTCAGGCTCCAGCCACTGGCCCGGTTGACCATGGCCCTTTCTGTGGAGACCGAGTCGCACATCTACCGAGCTCTGCGCACTGCCTCTGGGGCTGCTGCCCACCTTGTGGCCCTGGGCTTTACGATCTTTGTGGCTGTGCTTGCCAGGCCTGGCTCCAGTAAGTAGAATTCATAGTTGACTTCTGGGAAGGAAAGTGCCCCTTCTCCTGGGGAGCAGGAGCAATAGGAAGCCTTGGGCCTGACTCCTGGGAAAGGCTTGGTTGGCTGGGGGACATCGTATGCTGGAGGAATAAGTGGGGAGGAAGTGAGTGTGGGGGCTCTGTCAGTTTGGCCAGAGTACCTGGCTCTTCTTTCCTTGTCTTGGTGCTCCACTTGGCTGCCTTGTGTGAAGTGCTAGGAGAAGGAGGGAGGCCTGCCAGAGGAGTGGCAAAGCATGGCCTCTGCTCCACGGAGGGACCAGGGAGCAAGGATAGGTGTGGGATCAGCTTGTTGCAGTAACAGGGGCCTTAGTATTTTGGCAGCACTTCCTTGGGCAATGCGCTGCCCATTTTCCTCAGACTGTAGGGATCGGTGTGGCTGGGTTCTTCTTGCCTCAGCCTCACAAAGCCTCCTCTTCATTCCAGGTCTGTTCTCCTGGCACCCCATGCTTATGTCTCTGGCTGTAAGTAGTGGCCCTGGCCAGCTCTTAGGGGCGGGAGGGAGCATAGTTCCGGGTGGTAGCCCGGGTAGCCTCTGAATCCTTATGGATGCTTAATATCTCTTTGGAGCGGTGGAATGTGGAACTGGAGGAGTCGCATGCTCCAACACCTGCCTGTAGTATATAAACCAGACTTGAACCAGAATGTTCAAAACCCAGGGCAAATTTGCCTAAGCACAAAATGAGGCTTTATCCACCTCCAGGCAAGAAGCCTGGAAAATGATTTTTGAGTGTACCTGTGTCTCTTTTTACCTTAATTTATGGTGATGCATCTAATTTTCCCTGAAATAGTGCACTTGGCCAGCTCTTGCCAAGTAACTGTATCCGGCCCTGTGTTAGGGAAACAAAGCTTGTGAATCATTTATAACTGCCACATCTCAAACCTTGTGTTTGCTGGGTAATGTAGCAGACATGACATTTCAAAATAGCACCTAGGAAGAAATGTGAAGAGGTATATACCTCTTGCCAGTTACTAAGGGCAGATGTCCTGTCCCTGATAGAGCTCCCCACTCTTGCCCCTCCAAATGGATACTCTTGTCATTGGGTAGAGAATGGAGAGGGGGAATCTGCCCACAGTGACTGGCAGCTTAGAAAGTTATCTGAAGCTTTTTTTCCTGACTTAGTTTCCCATCCCTGTTTCCCCAGTTCTCTTTCCTGATGACCGAGGCACTGCTGGTGTTCTCTCCTGAGAGTTCGCTGCTGCGCTCCCTCTCACGGAAGGGCCGAGCACGCTGCCACTGGGTACTGCAGCTGCTGGCTCTGCTGTGTGCACTGCTGGGCCTAGGTCTTGTCATCCTCCATAAGGAACAGCTTGGCAAAGCCCACCTGGCCACGTGGCATGGGCGGGCAGGGCTGATAGCTGTGCTGTGGGCCGGGTTGCAGTGCTCAGGTGGGGTGGGGCTGCTCTACCCTAAACTGCTGCCCCACTGGCCCCTGGCTAAGCTCAAGCTATACCATGCCACTTCTGGGCTAGTGGGCTACCTTCTGGGTAGTGCCAGCCTCTTGTTGGGCATGTGCTCCCTCTGGTTCACCGCCACAGTCACTGGTGGGGTCTGGTACCTTGCTGTGCTATGCCCCGTCATTACCAGTTTGGTCATCATGAGTCAGGTGAGCAACGCCTACCTGTACCGCAAAAGGATCCAGCCATGAGCTCTTCCCAGCCTAGAAGCCTGGATTTGCCCCTCAGTGTAGTAGTGGGGGCTGGGGCCTCCTGGATTTTCTCAGCTAAGTCATGAGGACATCTCAGGCACTGGGAAAGTCTAAAGTAGGAGTCTTGTGTGTGACATTTTTTGCTTGCTCCTCATGGTGGAGCATGCTTCTATACTGTCCCAGAGGAGCTTATGGATGATGTCTGGATGAAGCTGGGGTTACAAACCTACTTCCCCAGCAACTCAACTCATACTTGTACTGGTATGTCTGGAAATTACAGGAGAGAAAAAAGCAAAATAAAGAAGAATGACTGAAAAGACCGGATGGGAGGAATAGCTTAGAACTGGGGATAGTTCTCACTAATGCTGTCAGAGTGAAGAAACAGGCAGCTAGGCAAGATGGGGACCCCTGTCCCTGGCTGCTCACTGAGGGGCTGAAGCTCTCCCAGCACATGAGCTCTGAGATCTGGCTGCTGAGCCTCCTGTGCCCTCCTGTGCCCTCCTGTGCCACCCAGGGCCCTAGATGGGTGGCCCTAGATGGTACAGCTATGTGTCCTTTCACTCTCCCACCTGCATACTGTGCTGGCATCGCCAAACTGGTGGTTAGATGTGGACAGTGACACGGTGGGAGCTGGGGATGGGCTGTTTCCATAGGTGTCAAGCACTGACCACTGTCTTGAGAGTGAGCAATCGATAAGAACACTCTTTATGGTAGAGAGGCCCTCAACCATCCGATCTTCTGGGCAGAGCCTCCCTGACTGGGAATCAGAGAGAGAGACAGAAAATGAGTAAGATTGGAAGTGACAGCTCTGGGAAGGGTGTTTAACAGTGGGGGTAGGGGGAGTGGGGGCAATAGGCTTCTTATTCAGCTGGAGCTGGCAGGGAGACCAAGCCCTTGAACCTAGAGTAAAGTCCCTAACTTTGCAGTTGAACATAATGAGGGGGCTGCCCAAGGTGGTCTGATAGAGCCCAGGAGCCATACCTCAAAGAACTGCTTTATTGATACTGCGAGGCTGGGCTTCACTGCCCACTCAAGTGGTCCTGTAGAAAATACTTGGGAGCCGTGGCTCTTCTGGCCAAGAAGCAGCCATAGCCACAGCAGAGGGAATCAGAAATTTTCACATGAACATAGTCTTTCTGAGGGTGGGCAGGAATGTGCAGCCCTGCACTGGCTGGACCCCCAGAACGTTTTTGGCAAATCCTTGCCTTGGCTCAGGGCTCTTGGCAACCAGTATCAGGCATCAGGGTTGGCCCAGGAGGTGTGGCACCACTGTCCCTGCAGCCACTTGCTTGGGGCTGTCTGCTGAGGTACAGTCTTACCTCAGATGGCCCGGGCTGGCTGACACTTCAGAGGCCCCATGCCTGGCATAGTGGTTGTCTGGAATTGGAACCAGGTAGCAAGAGTCCTGGGTAGTGTTGGCGAGAGATAGCAGAAGGCTGTGGAAACCCCCAGCAGCCCTTCTTCCTTCTCAGAGCAGTCAGTGCCCTGGAGTAGCTGAGAGGTGTCAAGGGGGGGCTTGGGAGAGGAAGCGCCTACACTCAAGGTGGTCTGGAGTTACAGCTTCGGCGGAGCTGCCTCGAAGGTGATCAGGCTGGATTCTGGGGCAGCCCCCTTCCCTGGGAGCATGGGGGCCTTGTCTGAGGGTAGGGGGCTATCCACCTTGGCCCCTGCCTCCTCTTCATCGTCATCCATGCTTGGCCAGACGGACTGGTCCTCCACTCTCTTCAGCCGCTCATTGAGGGCCTTCAGGGCCAGTTGCCTGGAGCCAGAGGAAAGATGACAAGTCACTTGGCTCATGCCCTGTACTCTTCCCCCATGAAGCTGACTCCCCCTACCACCCAGACTTCTCTCAGAATTCTGTGTATTCCCCTTCACCATGCAGGGCCCAGGGCTTCCCAGGGACTGGAGAGGGCCACCTCTGCCATCAGAAGAGGGACCCAAAGGCTGTAGAGCCTCCCCTTCATAGCCAGGGCACCTTCAGGCTGAGAAGGCCATCAGGGTGTTTGCCATACTGTCCACCAGGCCAGTCCCACGAATGATTCTGAGGGTGGTGCCTAAGCATGGGCAGAGTTGGTACCCCAAGAAAGATGGGTGGAAGGAGTCCCTGAACATGGGAGTTTCTGCCTGGGCACTGGTATCACATCCAAGGAGAGAGTTATTACTTCTTCCTCTCTCCTCATTAGGGGTGTTTTGAGTCTCCTGGCAAGGGTCTGTGGGGAATGCTGGAATGCAGGATCTCAACCTGGGAAGCAGGTCCAACTTGGGTCAGCCCACCCCTCCTGACTCTAATGTTCTCCTTCCCAGAAGAATCCCCAAAGCCACCACTACCGGTGTTAGAGCAGTGAACACCAAGTCCTTGCAGAAAGAGGAGGAACAGCCCATTTGGACGGGACACAGGCCAAAGCTTACTGGTTCCACTGGACAAATCCTTTTGGATCTCACTTGGGGGGAGATGGGAAAGTTGACTAGAAGATATACACGTGCACTTGGGACCCTAGTCTACCAGGAGGTAGAATGCCCGTGCTGCCAGGCAAAACTTTCACTAGTGGTCACTATGAAACCCTGATGCCTCAACCTGTTTGTGCTGCAAGCATGGGGGAACAGCCTGTAATAGCCTTCCAAGTTCCAGCAGAGAACCAAAACCTCCACCATACCAGGGAACGTGACAGAAAAGGCAACAAGAACACAGGCGCAGAAAACCCAAGCACAATTCCACCCTTTCCTCCAGCCTGACACATGGCGAACTGGCATAAACAGGACAGTCCTTCCCTGTGCTACCCAGGCTTCCATCCTGGAGACTGCCTTGTCAGTTCTGTCTAAAGTCTGCCAATGTAGAGAGGTAATGGCATGCTAGTCACTTCCTCACAAGAGTCAAAGATAGGAAACCCTGTCTCCCCACTACTAGACTAGTAGCCATTTGGGTTTGGGAGTGGCATGCTGCCAGATGTCCAACTGCTTGGAGTAGTAACAACCATAAGGCTACGTCAAGAACCCACATCCTGACAACCTCGCCTACCCCAACCTGCCATTTTCTTGGGCCTGAGCAGAGGTGTTTTGAAATGTCAGCCAACCCTAACAGTCCAAGATTTCTCACTAAAGGAGGAGTCACCACCGTGTCTTGGCCCCACCTGTAGAGCTGAGGACAGCTCAGTTTCTACCAGGCCCAACCCTCTTGGTCCCATCTTCTCCACTGTATAAAATGAAGACACACCTGTCTTTAGAATTCATCAGCCATAGACACAAACTGTAGGGCCAACAGTTATGCCCCGCAGCATGCCTTGTGTACTTTTCAACATCCACCACCTTAGGCCATAGTAATCTGCAGCCCTTCCCCTGCTGGAAACCCCTTCATGAAAGGGGTGTGTCCCACACTGAAATCCACAGCCCCAGTGGAGAGTAAGCACAGGGATAACTTTTCAGCTGAATTCATAAAACTATCTGCCAAGAATCCATTTCACAGGTGAGCAAAAGCAGAAGCTGACAGGAGGAACAAAGCCTGCTCCAGGCTTCACTACTAAAAGAACTGCCTCAAAAAAACAAAAACTCTCAACAATAATGTTGGAAATAGAGCTGTTACCACTCTGGTGAGTCAACAGACCTGGGAGAGAGAGAGAAAACGAGCCAGAAAGCTGGATTAAAAAAAGATCTGCCCTGCCCTGGCCAAGGTGCATTCAGTGAATAATTCATCTGGGACTCCAGATGGTGCAGATGGCTTGGTTTACAGATAATTAAAAAGGTTGTCTCCACTCCCTGTGTGGTCAGCAGACTCCACAGTGGGTCACATGGCCTGTCCCCTGGGTTTGGTGACACATACATGCTAGAAGGACGGGGTGTAGTACCCCAAGTTTCCCTCTCAATAAGTGGCAGAGAAGCACAGCATATGAATTTTTAAGATCCAGGAAGAGGACATGGCTCAGCATTTTGAAATTGGGGTGGCCCAGACTGCCTAATAAGAATCCCAGGTCTCTTTCTCTGTTCCTCCCTCACAGGGGAAAAAGGACCAGCAGGTCGTTTCTGGCTCCCATAGGACCAGTGTCTAGGATTCCGAGTTTCTGACACGATTAGGATTATGTGTATCTGGCCATTAACCCCTCACACAGTATAAAAGGACACTGGGCATTTCTTGGGGCTTGTTAAGTAGCCGGAGTGGTGAGAAAGGCAACTTTCACTCCTTAATGTTGGAAAACACCTACTGGAGCCCAGACTCCTACATGCTGAGTTTCTCAAAACCACAAACTGGATTTTATCTCTGAGTCTGCCCCAACACCTGACCCTTGGCTGCCAGCCAACATACAGCAAGTATAACAGACGATATGGGGCTTGATCAATACTCTCCTAGTTCAACAAGGTTTTGGAATACTCCACAGTACCTTCTCCGTTCTGCATCTTGAGGGTCTGTCCCTGGGAGGCTGATGGTGATGGAAGACGGGGCACCTACATCATAGCGCTTCACTGTCTTCTGGCATATCTTTACCTTCACCAGGAGGCCGTGCACCAAGTTCGCCAACAGCCCCACCACGGGCTGCAGAATCTCAGGGAAGAAGGTGGCAAAAGCGAAGTGGTCAGCCATGTCCCCTCGGCCTCGGCTATGGCGCTGGTAGAAGCGAAGATAAACCCAACTGGAGAGCAGCCCAAAGCCATAGGAGGCCAGTGCTGGGCTCTGGAGCAGCGTGGCCAGCCGCAACAGCAGCAGCAGCCCCAACAGCAGCATAGGCACCACGCTGACACGCACCTGGGGCACACGCAAGACCACACAGTCCCCCATGGTTTGCTTGAGTGCCACCAGGACACCACCTAGGAAGCCCAGGGCTCCGTGGATGCGGATAGTGAAAAGGTAGACCAAGTTGAAGGAAGCCATGTAGGTGAGGAGGTAGGCGAAGGCCCCCAACAACCCCACTGACACGTTCACCACTGAGAAGAAGATGAGCAGCTCCAAGGCCCCCCAGAGGGGCTCCAGCAAACGTCCAGCCACCACCACCGTGGCAAGACTGATAGCCACATCCCACACGTGCTGTTCCATCAGCCCATGGGTGGCCAGGGTCCAGATCCAGAAGTTGGGCGGAAAGAGGTAGCCTGGGGTAACCGCCAGGCAGCCCGTGTCCACGGCGAAGGACAGCAGGTAGAGGAAGAGTACTGTCGCACACAGGGCCTTCACCACCACGCTGGCGCTGGCCAGGATGGCCCCCAAGTGCTGGCGGGCGCCCGGTAGGGCGCGCTGCATCTTCCCGAAGGGCGTCGGCCTGGGGGAAAGGTCTAGTGTGTTAGGGGCCTCCCCGGGGCCTCGCCCCAGTCCGGCCCCGACGGGAGGCCCGGGCCCGGCCTAGTCACTGGCCTATGGCCCCGGTGAAGACTACCTCCACTTCTGGTCGGGTTGGCTCCGGTCCCAAAGGGTCAAGTTGGGCCTGGTCGCGGGGCCGGGGCCTAGGCCCCTTGCCGGGGACCTGAGGGAAGGCCCTGGGAGGCTTCTGCACGTCTGCTCGCCTGCCTGCCCTGTGGGCCCCGCGCCGAGCTGACCGGGCTGGCGTTGATCTCAGGGCTCGGCCTATTCCATCCACTCGGGGGCCCTACGATCTGCGTGGGACTGGAGCCTAGTTCTGGGCCCCAGTCAAGTCTCGTCAGCTCCGGCTCGGCCTCGGTCTTGGCTACGACCGTACCTCCTCCCTTCCCAGGCACCGACAAACAGGGTGCTGCGCTTGCGCGCTCCCGACGGCGGTGGGATGCCCTTCCGGCTCTGCGGCATGCTGGGACATGGAGTCCTCAGCCGAAGCCGGGGACGAGCGGATATCAACTTTCTGGGTAAAACTACAAGTTCCAGGAAGCTGCGCTCCCGGGCCGTTCCAGTTGGTAAGAGGAAGGTGTGCTTGGGAGTTGTAGTTCTCAGGACAGTTTCCGCCTGTTGTCGGGGAGTGGGGAGGAGTCAATAGCTTCGCTAACCTGGAGGAAAGCTGCGGGTACCTGCGCGGCAGCGAAACTGCAGACACGCGCTTGCTGAATTTCCTGGGAACAGTAGCCCCGTGCATGTACATCTGAATACTTCTGAGTGTGTCTTTGTGGACAGGTGTGTGGGTAAGAATGTTGATGGTCTTGGTGTGCGTACCAGTGTGCAGGGGCTCCGAAACTTCCGCAGCCTGGTGGTGTGTGTCTGATCCAGGTTGTATGGGTGTATGAGACCTGACCCAGATTGGAATTCTTGCTCTTCCATTTGGCGGCTGTGCGACACTGGCTAAGATTCCTCAATTTCATGGACGTAAAATGGAGATAATTTTACGGTGAGGGTTCAAGGGGACTGTGGTGTAAAATGCCAGTCCACTCTGGGGGCGCAGTGAGTGTGTTGCCCAGGCTGCCCTTGTTACAAGTGTGGTGGCACTGCGACTTGAACTCAGGTCTCCTGTCACCAAAATGGCAAGGCTGGACTGCTTTTAGTGACTCTTCCCCATCACAGATTTCTTATCTCTGGCCTTGAGGAGGAGAGATCTCCCCCACAGACTTGGGCCAGGGTGGCCCAGGGCCCTCACTTCACTGCATTGGTAGCTTCCAGCAGTTTGTGTCCTGTGCAAACTGATTTTTTGGTGTATTTACTTTTTTAAAATGTGCATATAGTTAAAACAATTATATGTGACAGAGCACATGTATAAAGTGCAGAATCCCTTCCTTTCAGCCACTGATCTCAGTACAACTTCCGACCTGCGCATAGCCTTCTAGGTTACAAAAGGTGTTGACAGTCTTTTCTTTGTCTAGGGTCTGGACTTTAATTTGATGCCAGGGAGGGTTGCCAGCTTTAGCAAATCAAAATACAGGGTGTTCAGTCAAATTTGAATTTCAGATAGGTGAATAATTTTTAGTGTAAGCATGTCCCCAGTTTTTTTAGTATTGTTGTATCATACAATATTGGAAACATACTAAAAAAATTCATCATATATCTGAATTTAAATTTGACCGGATGTTCTACATTTTATCTAGCAACCCTATCCTGGGACCGAGCAGGCATCGGAGGGCATGGGAGCTCTCTCAGGGGTTACTAGTTAGGCATTGCTCTGTGGCCAACCACTGCAGGAGGAGTGAGGAAGAGTGTCTTTGCTAAGGCCCAGAATGTCCTCCTGCATTTATTTAGTATCCAATGCCCCCCAACCAGGTCACCTCAGGTTTCTAGCTGAAACCTTTGCTGATTTCTTGCCTTTCTCACCAACCAAGAGAGGAGACTTAGTCTCTGTTCGTTTATCTGTCTATGGGGATAAACTAGTACCAAGTCTAAGGTGTAAGCTGACTGCCTACCAGGTGAGTGCAAAGTGTGTTGTAAGTGAGTAAGCATCAGCAGTATTAGGAAACCTCTGTTGGGGGGGGGGGTAGGAAACCTCTGTGCTGGTGGTTACTAGTTTCTCTCCTTGAAAACAATGTGAAGGGTCACATGGAAGTAGGGTTGATTATTAAGAGAGTTGGGATTAAAATGAACAAGGGCACAGGGCAGGCCAGAGGGAGGTCTGAGAGGATTCACAGAAACTGATTCAGTTTTGGGTTCCAGAATGAGCAGTGGCAGCCAGGGAGAACACTGGGCCTTGGGCCTCCCCTCAACTGAAAAGGAGCCATGGTCATGCTTATGGGTGGACCAGACCCTGGCCTTCTCTGGATAGCAGGATGGGCCCTCAAACACCAGGTCATGGACTTGGGCCAGGTATTAACTCATCGCTCCAAGTGGATGACCTGCCCACTAGGCCCTGGTGGTCTGACCTGATGGCTAGATGCCTACCTAAACTCAAATTTCATCTGTCTTCTTTCTTCTGTCATCCTGGCCTTTAAGGACAGCTTTTCTCAGAGATTATCTGAGATGCAGGATGTCAAGGATCTGATATTTAGGAAGCCCAGGAAGCGTCATGCCCTACACCTACTGGGTACCTGGGTTGCAATAGCCTTCATTCCCAGTTGAGTATTAGGTGGGACTTTGAGGTCATGGCTACCTGTCTTTTTTTTTTTTCAACGTTTATTTATTTTTGGGGGACAGAGAGAAACAGAGCATGAACGGAGGAGGGGCAGAGAGAGAGGGAGACACAGAATCGGAAACAGGCTCCAGGCTCTGAGCCATCAGCCCAGAGCCCGACGCAGGGCTCGAACTCACGGACCGCGAGATCGTGACCTGGCTGAAGTCGGACGCTTAACTGACTGCGCCACCCAGGCGCCCCGTGGCTACCTGTCTTCAAGCTACCCAATTCCCACCCTGAGGCAGACACAGTGGATGGGAACCATTTGAAGTGAAAATATGAACATTATTTAATAACTGATCTTCTGTAATAAACCATTTGAAAATATTTTACAAGGAATCACACACACGATATTTTACAAAGTTTCTTGACTTTTTTGTCACTGTTGTTTTTCTGACTTGTCTGTACAAAATAGAACAACAACCAAAAAAAAAAGGGCAGAGAAAAGGAAATGGTCCCCCAGTCCCCCACAGATCCCCCGAGCCCGAGGTGAGGGGGCAGCCAGGTCGGGTGGGTGATGAGAAGGATTAGACCCAGCTGGGGGTTGGACAACTACCTGATGGGGATTGTTTGTCTGTTTTCCTGTTTTTTAAACTTAAAATATATATTTATTTTTCTGTATATGTTTCTTTTTTATTTTTATATTCTCCATTGAGCACCTGACTACACTACAGTTACACACACGCCCCCGCAAGACATGGCTGGCATCTAGGCTGGGTGTACAGCATGGGTGCCCACCCTGGCACCAGCAGCGGGCATGGACCATACACACACACTGAGAAAGCAACAAGCAACGTGACATTAATTAATGGAGCCATTAATTAATGCATCACCCTCCCCCCTCCTCCCAGTCCATCTGAGCCTCTTGGCCACATCCCCCTGCTCTCCCGTCCCCCACTTGCCCCCAGGCTGGGATGCCTATGGGGGAAATGATCAGAATGAATGGTGTGAAGACATGTGCCTGGGCCCAGCCTCTGTGTGTGCACAGAGTGTGTGCATGTGTGTGTGTATGCATGCACGTGTGTGTTCAGCAGGGGAGAGCAGTTTGCTCCCCCTCCCCCATTGTGTGAGTGTGAAGAAACAGGGAGTGGAGCACAGGCCTGAGTGTGTAAGGGCCAGATTGGGGGTGGGATAGCCCAGCCAGGAGTGATTATGTCACTCTGGCTAAGGCAAAGGGCAATGTCTGGTGAAGATTCCTCTGCCAAGAGGTGCAGGCAGTGGCATGTGGTCTCGCTGGGGGCCTGACACTAGTGCGAAATGGTTACAATGAGCACCTGGTGGGGTGAGGGACATTTCCAGGACACTGGTGGCTAGGGTGGGACAGAGGTGAACCCCCTGTCCCAGCATTTGGCACTGTTTGACATTCAGCTTTAGAGACAGAGGACCAGCTGGGCTGCAGGTCAGATTAGAGGTGGGCAGTGAGCAGATGAAGTGTGCATGTGCCAACCCTCCCACCAACCCCCTGCCCTGTGTAAGGCTTTGTGAGCCCCTACCCCCACCCCATCCCATGGTGTTTGTGTGTGTGTGTGTGTGTGTCTGTGTGTGTGTGTCTGTGTATGTGTGTTCGTCCTCCTAGGTAAGTCTAATGTGAATCCAGTTTCTGCCCTCAGGGCTCCAGGTGTTTATGGGGTTGTGTCTGAGCCAGTGTCACTGTCACTGGCCTGTCACCTGCAGGGCTGGAAGAAGGTGGGAGGTGGCTGTAGGCCTGATAGGGGCAGGAGCCATTGAGGGGCTGCCTCAGGACCTCCCTCCTGCCAGGACTTAAGATGGGATGCACAAGCCTCAAACTGCCCATCTCAACTTCATTATTCCCAGGGAATCCAGATTTGGTCCTGGGTGGGACATAAGGGCCAGGTTAGAGAAGTCCAGCTGGGGCAGGGCCTAGGTCTCCCACACAAAGGGAGCCTTGGGGCAGGGTGGGCAGTGGAGGCCTGGTTTGGCACCAGTACTGTGGCTTCCCTGTCCCAGCCCTCAGGGGCGGGTGAGTCCAGTGGGAATAAGGGGTCTGGGGTCACTTTGACAGTTCGGCGGCGAGATGTGGCTTGGGGGCCAAAGACCTGCGGCACCCTCCTTTGAGACCCCCCCTCCCCCCCCCCCCGGGTCGGGGGGGGGGGGCAGGGGAGAGGCGGGGAGGCCTGGGGAGGGGCAGGAGGGGGCGCTCAGACGCGGCGCGAGGCGTGGGCGTGGACTTGGGGCTGCGGCCGAGGAGGCAAGCCCAGGAGGAGCAGCAGCTGCAGGGAGACCAGGACGCCCAGCGACGGCGGGAAGGAAGCTCCGCGGCCGCAGTCTGAGGTATCTTCCTGCGGGAAGAGGCAAGGTGCAGGTCGGCCGGGCGGCCCAGGGAAGGGAGGGGGGCCGGGATGTAAAGTGCGCCGCCCCCTCCTCACCGTCGCGTTGTAGTCAAAGCAGATATGCGGGCCTCTCCGGTATCGCGGTCTCTGCACCAGTTCACACTGCTCCGGGCCGTCCGCTGGGCATGGGTGGGGAGTCAAGGAGGCGGCAGGGCACTGAGGGGGCACGCGGGACAGGAGGGGGCGCGGGCGGCGGGGGGCGGCGGGGGCAGGATACAGTGTGTCTCTTTCTGCAGAAGCCGGCCACCCTCACACTGGCTACACAGAGGCTTCTCGGCCACCACGAAGAGAAGGTTGGTGTTGGTCAGTCTTTGCGCGTGGAACAGCCTGGAGGCAGTCCGGAAAGGCGGGGCTTTGAGACTCGCCCCGCCCCTCCCCGCTGCAGCCCCGGTCCCGCTCCGGGCCGCGCCCACCCGGCAGGCCCCGCCCATGGTCCCACCAGGCTACAGCCAGCCCTCCGGTCCCGATCCCCGCGGGTACCTGGAGCAGTTTCCGCAGTCGATGATGGCGTTGTAGGAGGCGTTCACCGACCCGAAGTAGTACTGGGTCTGTTTCATGACGCAGCTGCTCTCTCGCGCTTCGGGGTTCCCCTCAGCCTCCGCGGGGTCTGCGAGGGCCCAGAGCGCCTCAGCCCCACCCATTCACCCTGGCAAGGTCTCGGGTTTCAGCCTCGCTCAACTTTAAGCCCCGACCTCCCTTTGGGATGGGTCCGGGCTTAGACTGGGGAGGGGGTTCGAGGAGGGGCCTCTAACGCCCCACCTACCTGCCTGAAACCAGCTGTGATAAATGAGGCCGTAGAGAAGCTGCTGGAACAAGGACCTGTAGGGCAGGGGTCACTGAGTGGGAGTGGTCAGCAGAGGCCAGTGCCCTGCCCCACCACTTCTCTTGAGCCCTTCTGGTCAGGGAGCACCCTTCCTCCGCTCCCTTCCCCTTTGGACTCACCAGGCTGCAGCGGAGGTCCACCAGGCCAAGTTAAGGAAGTCTGCAATAGTGGGCTGCAGTGGAGAGAGGGGCATGGGCTGCTACTGCTGTCCCGGAACCCGGGTCACCCCCAGCTCTCTTGTCAGAGGTGGAGCGTCAACTGTGGGCAGGTCTCCCAGCCTCCCCCCCCCCCCGTTGCCCCCCATCTCCAGACCAGGCATTGCTGGGGCTCACCACAAAGACCCCCCGGGGTGCAGCACCCAGGTTGCCTGGGGGTTGGGGGGCGCAGGCTGCCTGATAGTCGTACGACTCTTTGCGGGTGTAGAAGGAGTTATTGTAGAGTGCCAGCATCAGGTTGGCATCCACCTCACTGAAGAACCTGCCCACCTGGGAATGCCAGGAGGGAGTGGTAGTCACAGGGTTGGCAGTGCCACAACCCCAGAAAGCTCAAACCTTGGCCTCCTCCTTCTACCCTCTCCCTGACCCTCACCTGGTCCCACTGATGATTCTGGTTTGACAGCACCAGGAATCCCCCATCATCAATGAGGACACAGAGCAGGTCCTGAAAGGTGGAGAAGGAGGGGGAAGATGGAGAGGGGCTCAGGCCCAGACCTTCCTCCCCAGACCCTGGCAGTCGGGTGGTTGGGTAGAAGGGGCACCACTCCCCCAGTTGTGGTAAAGCTGTAAAGGGTGGGATGTTGAGACCCCCAGGCCAAACGATAGGCTAGGAGTTGCAGTTGGGATTAAGAAATCAGGGATCAGGGTAAGCTAGGGTTTGGGGCACACACACCTCATTGTTAACCTCGCAGTCCATCTCACAGTGGCTGCTGGGACCACACTGCTGGGCAGAGAGCAAGGACCATAAGGTGCCCGCCAGTTTTCCCCCTCCCATCACCCTTTGTACATCTAGATCCCCAGGCCATCTACAACAACCACTGCCTCCCCATAGACACAGGAACCACTCTGAGTGGTAAGGATTTCCGGGAGACTCTAGAATGGGTTTTGCTGGGCTTACTGCCCCCACACCTGCCCAAGTACCTTCTGAGGCTGGTCCTGGTGGGTACGGTTGCTGGCTAGCACCTTGAACTTCTCGGCCCAGGCCTCTAGGTCCAGCTTAACACCTACCACTATAGAGGAGAGCAAGGGGTCATCAATGCCCGCCTTCCTGGGCAGCACCCTGCCCATCGTCTCTTTCTCCACCTCCACCCCAGGCATTCACCTGCTGGCCTCAGTGTGCGTCCACCCAGGCTGAGCTCCACAGCTGTGCTGACGAGGATGCCCACTGTGTCATTCTCCAGCTCCAGTGGCCTTAACAGGGCTGGCGGTGGGGTGGGATGGTCAGGAGTAGGGGCTGGTGGTTACACTGACCACTCTGTGCTGGGCCTGTGGACCCAGGGGCCCAAGCCAAGTACCCAGTACCCAATGTAGTGTTTGGCACAGCCTAGCTCTCTCTCCTCATCTGCCCCAGTCTCAGCCAGCCTCATGTTTGAGAGGGGCCTCAGAGAGCAGAGCCTAGTCTTGGCTGAGCAGACAGGGAAGCCTCAACTTCCCATCTGCTGCTGGGCACCTTGGAGAACACTCACCGTCCTGGTGCGGGGGCTTGAAGACATAGCCATGGTTGTCCAGGCTACGACGGTAGAAGCTGGCATTGAAGGGCTCTGGATTCTCCGTCCAGTCATCCGCTGCTCTGGTTATCCGACAAAGACAGAGGTCAGTAGAAGGGGTGGTGTATGGGGGACAGTGTCTCAGCCAGGTGCAAGGAGGCCTATGGGAAGCAGGACAGAGGCAGGGTCCCAGACAGGGGCAGGGTGTTGGGTGGCAGGGTTGGTTACTTACTTGTTGGGGAATACGCGAGTGATGCCACCATCAGTGGCAGCGAACACGGCCAGAAGGCTGTACCTGGGGGGCAGCAGGGAGGTGAGTCACAGGCTTGCCTTCTGCAGGGCAGGGCCAGGGCCTCTGGGCCCATCCCAACCTCCTGCTCCCACAGGCTGGGTGATGCCTACGTGTTGAGATCCTGGTCCCGCCACACACGCTCCACCAGCTGCTGTGTGATGCCTGTGTCCAAGATCAGGTTGTGCAGAAGGAAGTTGTTGCCTAGAACCGGAGGTTAGGGGTGGAGGGGCCATCTTCTTGTGGCTCCCTGCCCACTCTCCCCCATATACCCAAGGCTCCAATAGGAGACTTTCCCACTATCTGGCCCAGGTCCTGCCCTGGGCTTGGGTCTGCATCACACCTGCCCGGTCTCTGGGTTCTTTTGGGCTGCCCCCTTGTGGCCTGGGCACTGCCCAGACCCGGCTGCCCCACTAGGCACTCACACTGCTTGGAGTCTGGAGTCACTTTCTCCATGAGCTCAATGAAGTTTTTCAGGAACTCGGTGTTGTTGTCTGAGGCATTCAGGTCCTTGCAATACTCTCTGGGGGTGGGGAGGGGCAAGAAGAGTGGGCTTGGGGGGCTGGACAGAGCAGTAGGGTTGAGGTTTCTCAACAGGCCTGCCTGGCCATTGGCTGAGAAGCCTGCGCCTTTGGCAGGGGGTGTGTATTCTTACAGGCTGCCACCTCTGAATAGGGGTGGAGCTGACACAAGAGTGATGGTCTGCTTCCTCCAATCTGGTAGGTTCTCCCTCCAGGGCATAGCCCTGGACCCTGACGGCACACCTGGGAGGCCCCAGGAGATGCCTCATGGCTGGCCCGTCCACCTGTATGCTGTGGCGTTCCCGTGGGCACACGGTGGGTGAAGTACCGGCGCTGACTTAGCCTAAATATAAGACTTCAACCTGCTGCTTCCTAGCTTTGCACCTTTGGATGACTCACTTAAGCTCCCCAAGCCTCAGTTTTTTCCATACCACAGAGGGTGTCAGGAAGTCAGTGGGAACACGTGGGTCCTCAGACTGGCTGCTCCTTCTGCTCGGAATGCTCTTCCCCTAGAGGCGGACAGTCCAAATCCCTCACCTCCTCAAGGCCCTCACTGGGCTCAGGCTCTGGCTCCAGAGAACATAATGTGGGAGTTTTGGGGCATGGGAGGCCCGCTTCAGGCTCTGTTCCCCCAGGAAGTCTTGGTGAGCAGTCCTTCCACCCTGGTAGATGGAGCTATCTCTCCTGCCTAATTCTTCCTTCACACAGCTGCCACTAGAGACCTCCCCACTGGCCTGAATGCAGCAACTTTGTGGGGATTATTAAAATGCACTGCTTCCCTACACCGTGCTAGGGTGCACAGTTTGGTAAGGGCAAAGCTGGGGGCAAGCTGGGTTTCATCCCCCACTTGCTCTCTGGCCCCTATGGCCTTTGTACAGTGCACAACCTGTACTTCTGTGGTGGGGGGCACAGCTGATACATCCAGAGTGATGCCCACAGTTGTGCTTCAGATACAGTTCCCCCACAGTGCCCCCAAGAGTATGTACATTTACATTTGTGGGTTACTTCATTCACTCACCCAACATGTATTTATTGAGCTCTCCCAAGCAAAGATACAGAAGTGACAAAAACAAACACAGTCCCCTCTCTCAGGGTCATGTAGGCCACACAGGCCTTTTCACTCATTCCCACAGTCACTAATGCACACAGCCCACTCCGTATTTACACTCAGACTCTTAACAAACATACACAATTACTCACAAACACAAACACACATCTACAGAGAGAGAAATCTGTGGGTGCATGCACACACGTGCACACACATGGAGGTTAGGAATGTCCAGAGCCCCCGTGTGGTGCCTGAGAGTGCCCATGGGTCTCTGTCAGTTGCACCCACCTGCCCTCATCCAAAGCCAGGTCACAGGGAAGGGCTTCACCACCGGGGGAGCTGCTGGCCTCCTCACTTTGGGCCAACAGGCAGAGCGTGTATACCCAAGGATGTGTGTGTGCATGCTGAGTGTGCACTTGAGGGATGGTCCAGGCCCGGGCCTGCACTGGGCCCTGACCCTTCACTTGCCAGAGCACCTCTTTAAAGCCCTTGTACCCTCTACCTCCCCCAGTCCTCTGTGAGCCATCACACCTAAACTCAGCACTGCTGACAGGGGCTCTGGCTGGCTCATCCCCAGACCCACACAAACACTGAATGACACAGGACAAGGACGAGGTGCAGGGTGGGAGTTGGGGAGGGTACCACAAACCAGAGCAGCAGCTGCCCAGTCACGAGTGTGCTGTGGACAGCCCGCCCAGGGCAGAGAGGGCTCCTTCCTGGTGGCCCGGGAGGGCAGGGAATATCAGCAGAGTCCAGAGCCCTCCTGCCCCAGGCCTGGTGGGGGCTGGAGCTGTGGGCAGCTGGCCACTGCTGCCTGGTGCGGCTGCATGGCCCAGGGTATGCACATGGCCGCACATACGGGGCTATGCATGGGGTGGGGGGCGACACTGCACAGGACACACACACACAGAGCTCCAGGCAGCAGTGCAGGAGGCAGGACCGGGGCGGTTGGGGTTGGGGAGGACACCTCAGCAAGGCCACACGCAAGCTACCTGGGAGCAATGAAAACATGTCCTTCAGACTCAAAGCTGCTGGGGAGCAGGAACTCAAAATCTGCAACAGAAACGGGGGGTTATCCGGCGGGGGCTGGGGAGGCAGGAGGCCAGGGGGCTCAGAGCTGACGGGGCTGGAGGGACAGGGCAGAGGGTGGCTTGAGGGAGGGGGAGACACCAGCAAAGAGGGAACCCGCCACTTCCACGTTCGAGCCAGAGAGAAGGGGCGGGCAGAGAGAAGGGGCGGGCGGGGAGGGGTGGAGGGCCTGTGGAGACTACAGCATCGCAGGAGGAGGGCAGTTATAGCCAATATGTTGCCCAGGCCTGGTCCTCTGTCGGCAGTGAGTCCCGTGGCGTGGCTGTATATGCTTCCATACGGCTGTATAGCACATATACACGGACACACACACACACATATATATACACACACTGCTATATATATGCATGGTCTGGGGGAGGCGCCGGTCTCGCTCTTATCACATCCGTAATGGAAAAAACCGCATGCTGAGCTTCCTTTGCCTCCAAAGAGACTTTGAGGAAGGGAATTGGCTTTTGGCCGCGGATTTTTATCTCTCTTTCTTTGCTGCAGCTGTTTGCATTTTGGTAGGTCTTGCTTTTGTTCTGTGTCAGGCATCAACATGGCCAAACCGAGGGAGTTTCTCACGGGCACAGACAGTCCAACCAGAGACGGTGTGGGCAGCTGGGGCTGGGCTGCAGTGCATTGTGGGGGTCCAGTGCTCTTTCTTGGGCTGGGAGGCTGGGTGAGGGGAGACTCATGCCTGAGAATGTTCCCATGCTGTGGAGGAAGGTGTGGGAGACAGGAGGACTCAGGAATGCTGCACAAACCTGTACACCTGCCCTCTTGGGCTGGGAGCATGAGGCCAGGCAGGGAAGAAGGGTGGGTCTTTAACTTTCCTAGGACCTGTCCGGGTTCAGAGCAGCCAAAGAGGAATGCTGTGGCTCCAGAGAAGGAGTGCTCTTAGGGACCTATCAATTAGACCTGTGCATGGTGTGAGAGTGAGTGCGTATGTACATGGGAAAACATGTGTGTTTGCATACCTGTGCAGGTGTACAAGTGTCTCTGTGTGGGTTTGTGAGTGAATTTGGGCTTCTCTGTGGCCTCTCCCGGCCCAGATGGATCAGCCACCTGGCAGGTCTGCATCTTGGAGCCATGCCCCTGCCCCTTGGTGTGTTGCACTCTGGGCAGCCCACCTTCCAATCCTGTCTTCACCAAGGTATGATCTCTCTGTCACCCCAAGGCTTATTTTTGCAGAAGAGGGGTCTTCTCTGTTCCCAGATACTCCCACAATGCACTGCAAGATTCGGGGAGGTGGGCTTGGGGTGCCTGCAGGAGCTGGGCAGTCACTGGTTGGACTGTTACTTTCTGATGGGACTGTGAGGCAGGGTTTGGACACAAGCCGACAGGGAACGGGTGTGGGGGAGGGGAAGGAGGAGAAAGAAAAAGTAGGTAGGGGAGCAGGAAGGGAGACTAGGCTATAATTGTCATTGTTACCAGGGCCCTGCATTTCTGGGGTCAGTGGGAGGGATGTGGAAGGGGGAGAAAAGACAACTCAAGCCAGTGGGAGTAGGGCCTGTCCCCCACCCCCACCCAGGCCAGTGGTGCCAACTGTATCCCCTTTGCTGGACTATGCTGGACAGGGCCCCTAGGGCTTCTTGGGGAGCCCTGGCTTCCAGGTCATGGGGACTGGGGACAGGAACCCCCCCTTGTGGCTCTCCATGCCTATCTGTCCAGGCAGGGGTATCTGCCCCTGTGGCAGAGACCCTCACATGCTGCCCTCTCTCACCCTCCTTGTTCTCCACCAGAGTCTGTGAGTTCAGTGCCTTTCGTTTTCAGGAACGTCTCGCTTGGGTACCCCTAAGTGCCAGAATCTTTTTGTTCATACACAGACTGATTCCCTCTAAGCTCTTTTGCTGGCCCTTGGGGTCCAGACATGGTTCCTTCCATTCCTGTCTAGGCTCACTGTCCCTGAGTCTGCTTTTATTTCCCAGGGGAATACCTTCTCCACACCTGACCCTCTGCCCCAGGGGCAGCAAGTACCAGGGTTGGGCTGGGCCAGTGGACCTTAGCAAAGTCTCTGAAGGCAGTGGGGGGCACCAGGACACAGGGGCTGCAGCACCTAGGCTGGTGCCCAGGATGGCTGGGCCTGCCTGGCTCTCCCAGTGGCATGGCTGCTGCCCTATCCTGCCCGTCCCAGAATCAGGGTGTAGGGCTTCCAAAGCCTTCCGACACCCCTTGGAGGGCTGCCAACTTCTGGACCAACTGCCAGAGATCACAGGAGGGAGAACTATCCCAGACGAAGCCTCATGTGGCTGGCACTTTCCTTTACCCTAAGCCTCACACATAAGCCCCACTGAAGACTGGTCTAGCCCTGCCTATCAGGCCCCCTGTCCTCCTGGGTGGGAGGTGGTGGAGAGGCATACAGCCCTGTTCCCACTGTTGAGTTGTCTTAGAGGGACAGAGAAGGTGGGGGCGGGCAGGGGCCTGCCCAGAGGGAGAGAGGAGGATAAGGAGGGGGCCTAAGCTCTCAGAACACGCCGGAGACCACCCTGCAGGCAGGGCCAGGAGAAGGGCCCCTGGCTGTAATAGGGGTTTAGGGATGAGGGAAAAGGCAAGAACTCGAGGAGCCAAGGGGATGCTGGGAGGGAGCCCTGGAGAGCAGGGGTTTGGCTGGTCCTGGGTAGGGAGGGGGGCAAGCAGGGGTGTGAGGGTGGGTGGGGTGGGGAGAGGAGGGTGCACTGGTTCTGAATATACTTGCCCTTCAGTTTGCTGATTGGCACTGGGACAGTCCACCAAGAGAGAAAGCGAGGAAAACAAAAACAACACAAACACAAAAACAAACGAAAAGGGGGAGGGGAAGGGGAGGGGCACAAACAATATTTTATTCAATGGCTGTTTGAATGAAAATATTGTGTCTCATCATCATACCGAAAGGAAACTTCTTGCAAAAAAACGACATGAGAGAGAAAGAGAGAGCGAGAAAACTCAAAGGAGATGAGCCCCAGTCGGCCAGGCAGGTGGGGGGCGCCCGGTGGGGCCGGAGCCCCAGCCTCCCTCCCAGTGACCTCGGTCGGTGGGCAGGCGGGGCCACAGGCTCCAGAGGCCTCTTGGGGGAGGCCCAGGGTGAGCAGAACATGCAGGAATGAGCCACAGGCAGAGGAGTGGACCAGGGAGGGAAGGAAGGAGAGAGGTCCAGAGAAGAAGAGAGGAGGAGAGTGAAGGGGAGGAAGAGGTAGGGAGGGTGGGAGATGCAGGGATGAAGGGGGGTGGAGAGAGCAGAGGGAGGGAAGGAGGGAGGAAGAGAGAGAAAGTAAAGGTGCTGGGGCAGGAGAGAAACGGAAGGAGCAGAAGGTAGAGGGAAGTGGGGAGACAGAGAAGGTGGGGGTGCAGGGAAGGGAAAGAGAAGGAGGAAGGGAGGGAGAGGGAGGGGAGAGGGGGAGAGGAGGAGGAGGGAGAGAAGGCAGCAAGAGAAATGGAAGGGCAGAGAGAGTGAGGCAGTGGGGGCTGGAGGAAGGTGAGAGGGGCTGATGTGGGGGGCGGAAAATGGGGGAGGATGAATGAGGAGGTCAGAGGAGGGGGAGAGAGAGACCCTGGGGGGTGGCACCACAGGGGAGAGAGCTGCAGGGCACAGGGGGAAGGAGAGATGAGAAGAGGGGGTGTCTTCCAAGAATGCAGCCCCCAGAGGTGTGCGGGGGAGGCAAGCTAAGGAGGGAAGACACGCAGTAGGAGAAACTAAAACCAAAAACCTCAACGGAAATCATGAGAGAATGGTCTGGAACCAAATCTGAGAAAAGGCAGGCATGCGGATTTCCACAGACTTTCCGATGGCTGGTGCCCCAGCCTGCGGGTGCCTGGGGGTGGGCAGACTGGGCAGGAGGGGCTGCCTTGCCGCCAGCGGCTGGCTATGCTGCCTGGGGCCGGCGGCCAAGGTGCGGGGCAGAGGCAGGGGTGCAGGGCACAGGCAGGGGCCGGGCCACTTACACTTGACCTGCAGGATCTGGTCACTGAGGTTGGCTTGGAGGTAGAAGGTGCTGTAGGGCGGGAGCACAAGCCCTAGGCTGGGGATGAGGGGAGGAGAGGAGCATATGTCACTGCTGGGGAGAGGTGGGCCACATTGGCATTCAGCACCCCCACCTTGGAGCTGGGCAGAGAGGCCCAGGCTGTGAAGTCCCCTCTCCTGACCACCAGGGCCACCTTTCCCTGTTAGTTGTGGGAGACTCACTCCCTAAACTCTTCTGGAGGCCTCAGAACTCCCAGCTCCAAAGCAACTCGCCACACCCCCCACATCCCAGCAGCCTCCCCCAACACATCATGTGCCCAGCCAGCCTCCTCTATCTGGCCAGCAGCAAACTCAAAAGGGACAGAACACTGTGAGCTAGGCTGTTGGGTGCACAGACATGGGAGTGGGGTCCCTCAGTCCTAGAGACCTAGGCCACGTGAGAGCCGTCAAAAAGCAGGGCTGGTGCTAATACCATGAGGAGCAGTCACGAGCTGGGATTGGGGTGTGAACGAGACCAGCTCTTGGGGGCACAAGGAGACAGCCTGTACTGCCTGGGCCTGACCCAGAAGGGTACCTGCTCTGAGGCTGTGGTGCCTGTTGAGAGCAGGCCTGGGGATGTGCTGAGGGTGACATCCTGGGTGCAGATACCCAGGGATACAATCCAAGCAGGGGTGACATGGGAGAGAGTGGTGTGGCATGGGGAGACATCAGATGCACTGTCTTGTCTCTGTCCAGTTCTTGAAGGGCCAGCAAAAGGCCCTTGGGGGACCGAGAGTCCTGGGGTGAGTAGTGAGCAGTTCTGGCTGCTGGTGCCCCACTGGGATCATGGCTGCAGTCGTTGAGAACACACAGACTGGGCAAGCACAGGGCTCAGACTCTGGGCTCTGGGGCTGCCCCCACCCCTCCCTGCCTACCCAGCCCTGACCCACTCACCTGTAGTTGGTGCTCCTTATAGGTACCCAGGTGTAGTTCCGCATCACCTCGTCTACGTACCTCTGGGAGAAGAGGCTGAGTCAAGTACTTGGGCCAGTAGGCAGGGGTGGGGTGGAGTACGGGAGGATGCCCACTCTGACTCTGTGCCCCTATACCATCTTCTCACCTCGTCCAGGGACTTGACCAGTGTTCTGATTTGCTTGTGGCCCTTGTTGCCATCGATCATGCTCCGACGGATCTGGAAGGACCAGAGATGTGAGGGACGGGGTCCCTACTCTTTGCTGCTCTGGGTACCCCCATCTCTATTCTCCTTTTCCTTACCTCCTCTTTGTTCTCATCCTCCAGCTCAGCATCCAGGAAGTCCAGAGTCACAGGCTCCCGGAAGTTGGTGGTCTGTGGGAGGCAGGGCAGGAAGTCAGGGGTCCCCATCCTGTAGAGTTTACCCTCCTCCTGGCCACCCCCCTGGCTCACCTGGGGCTTGAGGTTGGGGTGCAGCAACACGTAGCCGTTCAGGTCAATGGCAAACACATAGCCGTTAGCTCCAAGCTGGGGGCGTAGATTGGGAGCTCAGGGCCTGGAGGGCTAGGCAGGGATTCTCTAGACTCTCGAGCTCTTCCTCAGCCTGCTTTCGATACCACTGAGGTTTGCCTGCCTGGGCCAGGGGCCCCCACATGCAATGTGACCTCGAGCCTGTTTCTCAAGCTGTTTCTCAAGCTCAAGTCCAGCAGGCTGGTATCCTGTGTGCACCAGCTCTTGCTGAGGCTGACCGGCATCATGGGACCACAATTTGATTTGGCCTTCTGCCCCAACTACCCCTGTTTGTCATGGAGCTGTCAGTCAGCCAGACTGCTCTGCCTCCACTGGCCCCTCAAGGCTGCTGTTACCCTCTCCTCCCCTCCCCACTAGTGTCTCCTCCTGGTCGCCATCTCAGTAGAGTGCATAGGGAAGAGAGTGCCCTTGGAATTCCTGGGTACCCCTTCCAGGTGGAAGTGAAGGATGAGTGAATGGGACTCTGGACTCACCCTTAGCTCTCTAGACTGTTTTCTCACTGCACATGGGGGCCAATGACATGGGGCCTTCAGGTGGCTCAGGTGTAGACATGCTGTCACACACATCCCACCCCTACCCCTTTCACAACCAAACCTGAAACTGCCTTCAACACAGGCGCTGGGCCAGCCACACTGACCTTGCCCCCTCCCTGGTTTATGATTTTGTTTTTCACCTTTAGTCCTTTGCCCACAGAGTTTCCTGTAACTCCAAGGTACACCTCCTATCTATTTGACAGTCCAGGGGTCAGCAAACTATGGCCCATGGGCTATACCTGGCCCGCCACCTGTTACCGTATGGCTAGGAATGTTTCTTTTTACATTTTTAAGTGGTTGAAAAAGACCAAAAATGGAATTTTATTTCATGACATGTGAAAATTATGTGAAATTTAAATTTCATGATCCACAAACAAAATTGTATTCAAACACAGTCATGCCTATTTATTTGTTTTATCTGTGGCTGTTTTCGCAGTTCAGCAGCAGAACTGAGGATGAGTATTTACGCTGGCAGAGCCTATAATATTCATAGTCTAGCCTTTCACAGAAAGTTTGCCAACCCCAGCTCTAGGCCCAAGGTCACCTCCTCTGGAAGCCTCTCCTGACTGCCTGAATTCAGAGGTGTCCCTGGAGGTGCTGTAATCCCCATTAGACTCCTCTGCTGAGCCTGGCTTGTGTCCCTGTGGGGAGGCAGAGCATGGTGGATGGGCAGATGAATACTTACCGTGTAGTTTGGAGTGAGCCTCTTAATGTCATTCAGAGCCACATCGATGCCCATCACACCCAGGATCAGCTGGTTCTGGGAACAGAGGCATGGGGTCTGAAATGGGTTCAATTCCATGGGGAAGCCCCACTGTCCAAACCTCACGCCCAGGGCCTCAAGCTGTTCACAAATAGTTGCCCCTGTCCAGGCTGAAGGCCTGTCTGTCCCTCCTCCATCCCAGACCTGCTAGGGCATGCCTAGTTGTTCCCGAGTGGGGAATCTTACCTTCTTTTCCCCAGGGCCATCCTGTGTCAGGTTGAAAACAGGGAGGGTCCCTGTCACCACTAACCCCAGCCCCTGAAGGGAGAGGAAGAGGATGGGTTAGAGGATGTGGCCAGCCATGCCCTACCCTGAGTGTTCAAAGGATGGGCTCAGGCACAGGTCCCATTTTTTCTTCTGTTTGGTTTATTCCCATATGGGGGCCCTTAAGGAACATGACCTTGTGGACACATCTGTGGGGGCCCAGAGGCCTTACCAGTGCATCCTCATACACGTTGGTCCACTGCACCTGCTTGGCCTCCTTGCCTGCCAGTACCATGGGCCTGCCCAATACATCCAGATATTCCTGGGGAGAAGGTGACAGGGGTCACGAGTTCACATGCCCACTGCACCTTCCCTGTTCTGCCTCCCGGCATATCAGCACGTCACCAGAGGGCGCTCTCACATCACAGCAGCCCACTGTTCACGCAGTGCCCAGGAGGCAAGGTGCTGGGAGGTGGAGGCCGGGAGGTGCCCTACAGTCTCACCTGTGTGTTAATGCGGATGGCTCCAATGGAAGGGATCTCAAAATAGTAACCTGTGAGGGAAGAGGACGCAGTGGTGGGTCTGGGTGGTACGTGGGATCCATGGCACAGGGGCTTCTGTACCCTGGGATGTCAGCAGCCCTGGACTTGTCCCTCAGGACTCCTCTCTTTCTGGTGTCACTCCCTCCCAAACTCCTATCCCTTTAGTGCTCCCTTCCACTGCCCTGTCAATTGGACTGATGCTAGGGAAGGGGTCATGAGTGTAGGGGTGTAAGGAAGCAGAGGCAGGGTGAGGTCCCTCTTGCTAGGATGGTAGTGACATTCAGAGTCCACCCAGAGGCCAGGCCCAAATATATGGAGAGGTAGACTGACCAGCAAACAGACACAAGAGCAGATCAGACAGGAGATGGATGGAAAATGGACAGACAGATGGGCAGAAAGATGCTTAGTCATATGGACAAGTTACATGGCCAGACAGAAAGATGGATAGTCACATGCACAGGAAGATGGGCAGTGGGTAAACAGGCAGCTGGAAAGCTGGACGTACGGATGGACATGTGGACAATCAACCCAATGGACAGCAGGGCATGGCAGGCAGGCCCTGAGGCAGTGACGCTGGACGTGGTACCTTTGTTGGCGCAGGCCATCCACTGCAGGGGTGTGACGTCGTAGTTGTGTTGCCCCACGGAGAAAGTGAACACACGCACCTGTTTGGGGCTTGGGGTTACTGCTGTGGCCACCAGATGACAGCCCTCCCCTGAACCGGGCCTAGGTCAGGGTGGCCCCCGCCTGGGCTGAGCCTCACCGTCCGGTTGGGCCAATTGTATTTCTCAAAGACATCCTGCACGCGGTCCTCACCACCATCCGTGAACATCATGATCATCTTATTGCAGTTGGCACGAGTGATGTTGGACTGGTCAGGAGTAGGTTTGGGGTCAGGCAGCTCTCGGCCCCTCCCCGGTCCAGGGGTGGGTCTCCCTCCCCCTGGAAGTCCTGGCCCTCAGACCCTCCTCCCCACAGCAGATGGTGCTTCTGCCCGAGCTGCCTGTTGGGCGCTAACAAGGCCATTCGTCTTGATTTCCCTGGTGTCACCAAGCCTGGGCCTTTGCCTGTCCCCAGCCACCCGCTCACCCACCCACGGGGCTCACGTTCTGCAGCTGGTCGAAGGCATACTCAAAGCCGGCCTTGTAGCCTGTGGTGCCCTTGGCCACCATGCCCTGCACAGCTTCCTTGAACACCTTCTTGTTACGCACATTGGCCTGCACCAGGTGTGTGAAGCATGACACAGGCTGTGCCTTTTCATTGAACTGCAGGGACAGTGAGGGTGGTGAGTGGCCTCAGGCTGGCCAGGGCAGTCAGCTGTTGCACGGTGAGGGGGTGGTGTGTGTATGACCCATTCCTCACCCGCCTACCACCTTGGCACTCACCGAGGCCACGTTCACATAGTCATCATCAGAGAGCGTGTCCAGCATCTCACAGACGGACGTCTTCATCAGCTTCAGGGTCAGGCCACTCACGCTGCCGCTCCTGGTAAGGTCATGGAGGCACTAGGTAGGCCTTAGGCATTTTCCTGCCGTTCCCTGATGAGTGTTCCCAGGCAGCAGATGGTCACCCCTTGCTTCCCCCCACCCCTTCTGCCAGCACTGCTCACTCACACATCCACGATGATGACCATGTCCTTGGGCGACGAGGCCCCCTGGATATACCTGCCCGGGAGAAGCCTCAATTAGGGCCAGCCTCCCTGGGACTTTGTGGGTCCTTTCTTCCTCCACCCATATATTGATTCAACATTGTTTCTACTGAGCATCCACTGCAGGGGCCAGACAGGGTCCTAGGCACCAAGGATATCACACTTAAAAAAACATGTCCTTGCCCATGACATGAGTGACCCTGAGCCAAAGGAGGCGTGAGCAGGTGATCCAGAGAGGGGGTAGAAGGTATGTCCCCTGGCCCAGGATGAGGGCCCAAGGTCTGAGTCCCAGCTGTGTGCAGGAATGAACAGGTGGCAGGGAAAGAGGATGTAATCGGGTACTGCAGGAGAGGCAGAGCAAAGGGTGAGGTGTCCAGGGTTCAGATGGGTGGTGTGGGGCTGGCCAACCGACATCCACTCTTGGGAACCCCCACTGGCCCAATCCCTCAGTCCCAAGGGGGTGGAGTGCCGGGCAGTGGATGGGGGGCAGAGGCAGCTGGGAGGCCTGCCTGGGTGATGGGATCCATTTTCCAGTGGCAACGATGTGTGAAATGAAAATTGGATAGAGCTGGCTGCGCCCTGCTCTGAGGCCTGGATATCGGGAGGGAGGGGAGCAGGCAGCAGAGGTGGGGGAACTGAGGGGGTGTCCCTTCCCAGCTCCTCCTTGCTCACTCACCAGGGTCTCCTTCGGACATCGTACAGGTCGATTTTCTTAGGGGCTCGCCATGGGGTGGCTGTGGGAGGAGAGGAGGTGAGGGGGTCTAGCAGGGAAGGGCCCTGCAAGGATAGGCAGCCTTTGCAGGAGTGGCTCCTCCACAGCCCACAGGGTTGACCACCCACCCCACACACCTCAGGATAAGTGGGCTGGGTGATGGAGGAGGGTTGGGTGCTGAGTGGACAGAAGAGACGGGCTGACACTTACCTGGATAGTAGCGAGTGACTCCTGTGGCACTGCCAAAGACCTGCCACAGCAGTGTAGGGTCCTGCCTGCGGTTCTCGATAAACACATTCTCCAGGGCCTCTGTCCAGTTGAGTTCATTAAGGATGACAGTGGCTGTGGGGGAAATGGGGGGGGGCTGAGGTGAAAAAGCACCTGGGCAGTCCCCCTGTGGGACCTCACCACAATGACATGCCCCGCTTGGAAAGCCTCACCTGCTCTCTGCCTAGCCAGGATCTCATTCCCCAAGGCTCGGCTGGGGCTGCACCAGCTCCTTCAGGAAGACTTCCAGGTCCTCACCCCATCCTGAGTCAGCTTAGCCTACCCTTCAGCCAGGCCCCACATGATCAGGCAGGGCAGCTATGGCCTGTGGCCCCTGGAGAGGGGCTGCCCAGGTGGCAGGGAGTTGTACCTTGGGATGCCCATCCAGCATGCTGCCTGAAGCTTGCAGCTGGTCCCTTGGGAGCTCACCCACTCAGCATGCACTCCGGGCTGCAGCCACAAGAAAGCAATTAAGGGCCCGATGATGGGGCTGGAATTATTCAGCTATTAAGGTACCTGATAAGCTGGAAGCCACTCAGCTCCATGATTAATCAACTGGGGCCAGGAGCAGGCAGGGGCGGGGGCAGGGGCTCTTGGAGGGGCAGGGGCTATGCTATGATCTTGCTCCAACACTTGCACGCACACTTGCGCGCGCGCGCGCGCGCGCGCGCACACACACACACACACACACATGCATACAGCCTACACTCCCTAACAGGTATATCTGTGTTGAACCTCTGTGTTTCCAGTCAGGTGTGTGAGTCCCTCACCCTTCAACCTACCTGCCCAGCAGCCCGACTGCTGCCATGGGCACAAGGGCACAGCACTCTGCACCCATTGGAGGACACCAATGGGTTTTGCTCTCACAGTCCCCCATGACCAGTTACCCTCACCCTCCCTTTCCCCTGACCTCTGTGGCTGCACACAGGTGATTCTTTGGCCAGACCCACCCCTATGCGCCCTTACAGATCAAGGCTCCTGTCAGATGAATGGGCTCGGTCCTATAGATCCCTCAGCCAGGGCAGTGACTCAGGATGCCTTGAGCAGCATCCCCACCCCCAACTCAGGACAGGCCTAAATCCGGCCGATGTATGTGTGTGGCACGTGTTCTCTTATGTGTAGTGTGTCTGTCTCTGTATGTAGGACACTCAAAAAAAAAAAAAAAAACCACCAGGAGCTGGATACCTGCTACTGCCAGGCCTCTATACCTGACCCCTTCCCCTAGGGGCTGTTTTTTTCCTCCAGTTTCTTCCACTTCCTTTCTTACACCATTGTCCCACTTGCCCCTGAGATCCTCATCAAAGATCCACCCCAAGTGAAAACCCAAGAATGCCTTCCAAAGCCTCTGCTCTTCTCTTCAGAGCAGAGCCTCTGAACACTGAAATCTTTAAAGCAGATGAAGAGCTGTGATTTAAAGATACAAGTGCTGGGGCCGCCTGGGTGGCTCAGTGGGTTAAGCAGCCGGGTAGTGATCTCATGGTTCATGGGTTCAAGCCCCGCGTGGGGCTCTGCACTGACTGTGCGGAGCCTGCTTGCGATTCTCTCTCCCTCTCTCTGCCCCTCCCCAACTTGTGTGCTCTCTCAAAATAAATATATAAACTTAAAAAAAAAAAAAAGATATAAATGCTCAAGGCTCCACTCACAGCCTAGGGGGCGCTGACACATTCCAGGGCATGGTCCTTCTGTTCTCTCCCTCCAGTGTGTGGCCTCTGCTGCATCTTGTGTGCTGCCTAATTCTTCTCCCTCTGCTCCCTCTCCCTTCTCTCTGTCCTTGTAGCTTCCCTTAACTGACTATAATGTGAAAACAAAACACATTTCTAGCATTGGCTGTGCCTATTGAACAGTATGTTATGGTCCTGTTGCTAATTTAGAAACTTAGTGAGTCGAACAATTTCTATTTTTCTCTTTAACAAAAAAATAAAGCCAGGTTCTCAAATGTTTCATATAGTACTGCCTGTCCTGGGAGAGTCTGCCTGGCAAGTCCCAACCTTCACTGGGCCTCAGTTTCCCCATCTTCCCAATGAGAGGCTTAGAGCAGACTGTCCTGGAAGCCTGTCTAGCTGCTGCCATAGGGGTGTTACTGACTCAGGTCAAGAGCCAAGAGGAGACCCCCACCTCAGTTGGGCTGTCCCTGTAGGTATCCACGACCACATGCACACACACGCATTCACTATAAGACACACTTGTGCAAGCACTCCAGCCTCCCTGCCTGGAAAGGGCCTGCTACTCAGCCCCATGTGCACACACCCACACCCATGTGCACACACTCTCAGATCACGCTGAGTTGGGAAACGGGGACCATGCCCCCTCAGGCAGGCGATTACAGATTTAATTAAAAGTGACACAGTAAATAAAAAACATATAAAATGTAATTTGTGTGGGTAGCGAGGGGTGACTGGGGAGGGCGGTATGGCTCCTGTTTTAATTAGTGTGCCTGCCTGTGATAGTGCTCCTCGGCTGGCTCGGGCAGGTGGCCTGCAGGCGGCCTGTGGCAGGGATGGGATGGTGTGTGTGGGGGAAGCATCTGTCCTCACCCACGCCTGAGGCTGCCTAGAAGGCCTGGCTGACCCTAAGGGTGGAGGGGGGCCTCCCTGAGGACCCTGGAGGATTCCTTGCATTCTGGACACTATCCAGAAGCTGTGGGACTTGTGTTCCAAGACCCTCCACCTGGCGGGACCCTTGGATTCTGAGGCTGCCTTGTAGGTGCTCACAGAATTATGCTCAACAGACCCCAGGGCCCTAAGGCCTGCTGCTAGAGCTCTCTCTCTAGTGCTTGACTCTTGGTCTCCTTCCCCTACACCTCCCAAGATCTTCAGGAAGTTCCTCCTCATGTCTGACTCAAATCCTTCCAGCTGCAGTGACTTCGTTTCCTCATTATGAAAGCTGCCCTGTCCCTGGACAAGGAAGGAGACGTTCCAGGTTGTTGTCTGTGAGTGAGGACGTCCCTGTTCCTCCAGCCCTTGAGGCCACTTGATGTGGTAGCTCCTCAACCCATGCTTGCATGGGGCCAGGGAATGGGGGATGGTGGGGAGGAGCTGCTTTGGGGGCCTGTGGGGACTTGGTCCAGCATGTAGGGGAACAAGTTGTGTGCAAGCATTCATGTGGGCACATGTCTACACATGGGCAGGAGACTGCACATGCATGGGGTGGGGAGTCTGAGTGCTTTGTAGTTTGCTGAGGGTTAGTGTCAGGCCGTGCCTGAGAATGGTTTGATGACTGTGTGTGGGTGAGCATGTGTGACCTTGGGTATAAGTGGCTGAAGGCAAATGGCACTGGTTGAGCACCTGGGACCTGGCAGTGCCCAGGCAGTGGGCCTTGCCCCCATGGTGGTGGGGGAGGGTTATTTCTGATTGCTCTGCACACTCACAGCCTTTGTAGATGTCCGTGGGGATCTGCACGGCCGTGTACGAGTAGTTGACCTTGTTCTTGAAGTTTGAGTCCTCAACGAAGTCCAGCCTTAGGGTGCTGGCCTTGGACCCCCTCTCCACATCCTCACTCTCAGGGTCGTCCTGCAGAAAGGGATACCCCCCACCACAGTAGTGTCAGGGCTGGGAAATGGGGAGTGGGGTTGGACAGCTCTGCAGGCAGGAGAGGGCCAGAGCCTAGGTGATTAGGACCATCTCAGAATCAGAGACTATTGCAGTTAGAAATGGAGAGAGATGGAGAGACACAGGAATAGATGGATACGGGGTACGGACCCCTCACCCAGGAGGCCTGTGACTCCCACCTGCCCCTGCCCACCCTACCCACCATCCCTACATTTGCTAAACCCAAATTCCAAATGCCAAATTGACCCTTTCCCACATTCTTGAAAACCAATTATCAGTGAAGGAGACAAACCTTAGAGCCACTGAGAAAGAGCGGGCTGCAGCCCTCTACTTATAAGGACAGGCTTATGCAGTCACAGGGAGGCCTAGGCAGCCCGTCCCAGGAGCCTTGGAACACACACCCCCACGCTCCCTGGGCCCCGCCCATCCCCTGCATGGAGTTCCTTTGGCACCAGGGAGAGGGCCCTTGCCCCATCTGGGGGAGGGGCACCATCCCTACAGCTGATGGCTGTAGGGGCTGAGTTTGGGGGGAGAGCTGGGCTGGGGTGCAGGCTAGCATTGAGACCCAGTAACTTCCGGAGGGAGGGTCCTCAGTGCCCGCTAGCAGCAGGATTGCAAAGGTCCCCGTTGACTTTCTAAAATGAGCTGCAGCCGCCTGACAGGTGCCAATTACGGCATCTCTCGGCCGAGCAGGCTGGGCATGCGCCGTGCACCCCCGCCCACCACCACAGGCTGGCAGGAATGGGTCTGCAGCTACAGTGTTGATGCTGCAGCCGAGTGGGGGTGGGGGCAGGCAAGGGTGCAGGTGTGCAAGGGGGAAGGGAAGGGAAGATGGTGGCAGAGAGTGAAGAGGAAGGCAAGAAAGAGCCAGAGGGGGAGGCAAGGAGGGACAGAGATCAAGGCAGGGCAGGGGCAGAGCTGGGGGGGCCCTTGTGCCCTGGGAGGAAGGGGTGTAAGCAGCTGGACTATCCACATGCCCCCTCAGTGCCCTTCAACCTCTGGCTCAGCTCACTTCCACCCCCTCGTGGTTCTGCCGACCACTCACTGGGTCCTAGGCACAAGTGCGGTGTTCCCTCCTCCCGCTGTATCTTGTCTGGGGAAAGGGTGATCGTGTCTCCCTACACGTCCCCAGCCCAGGAGGGCTCTGGGTCCATCCTCCAGCCTGGGGAATGAATTACTGCCTAGATGGGGGTGCCGTGTGGGGGTTGGCATGGCTCGGAAGGGTCTGCAGCATCTCTTCAAGGGTGGATTTTGTACGGCAAAATCCAAGCCATCTGCTGCCCTCCCCTCATCCCTCACCACGTGTGCCACCCTCTGCCCACCTCGGCACACCCTTGGAGGACCCTCAGAAGCTCCTGGATGCTGGGTAAAGCCAGGGCAGGCAGCTGCGGAGCCTGCCGCCTCTGAGGCGTGAGCCACTCACGTTCTGCTTGGAGGAGGGGGAGGTGCGGGAGAAGAAAGCCCCCGAAATGTCAGCGGCAGATGAAGGGCGCTGGAAAATTTAATCTCCCAACTTTCCCAACTAATGTGACATTTGGATTCCGTTCTGATAAGCTATCAGCTGGCGAACTTTTTCCTTCCTTCTCTTTCCCCCACCCCCACCTTCTGGTTGGTAATTTAAAAGTAAATGGTCTAGAAAGATCTCTAACTGTACCTCTGGCAAAGATTAAAAAAACAAAACAACACAACGCAGGGGAGTTGGCAAATATGTGCATATTTATAGGAGGGCCAGGCGAGGCCCAGCTTTTGGCCCGACCTTAGCCCAGCCCCACCGAGGATGACTCTCCCTCCATGGGCAGGGAATCCGTGATTTAGGGCCAGGGGTTGGGAGTCCTGGACACAGGGAGTTCAGGGGATCCTGGTAGGGGCCTTGGTACCAGAAAGGCCAAGAAGCCCCCTCAGTGCTACCCGCATGCCGGGGGTTTTGTATGGTGGGCAACTGCCGTCTCCTGGTTTATATTTAATGCACTGATTGCTAAAATTACAGCCCGCTGCTGAGGGGTGTAAGGAATTAGATTCAGGGTCTAATTAAAGGTTCGCTCTTCATTTGAATTTCAGATTCCAGCTTTAATTTTAGCAACTTCTCTGGGAGCCACGGAGGCTCAGCCAAGGGGGAAGCACACCTGCTTTAGCCCACCCACTCCTCCTTCTTGGGCCCCCTGCCCGCCTGCCCTCCTGAAGGCTTACCCAGGCCAGCCTGGCACCACGGACCCTCTGCAGGGATCGCTTCCTGCCTGCCCACCTCCTGGTGTCATTGTCTACCTCCTGCTCACCCCAGGAAATGCCCCTGGCCAATAAGCCTGGCAGAGGAACACCGGATTTGGGGGCTCCTGCCCCAGCCAGTGCAGGTGGGATTCCAGAGAGTGAGCTGTTATGACACCTCTGTTCACAGAGGAGATAGTCAGGTTCAACTGCTTTTGCCTCAAAGGCAGGCAGATGGACTTGGGCCTTGACAGGTTCACCAAACACTGTCTACTCTGAGTGCCCTGCACTCTTGGGCACTCTTGCCTCCTCAGTAGGTCCCTTGCTACCAGAACGGTCCTATGTCTTTCATGTGAGGCCTCTGGTGACAGGGCAGCCCAAGCAGACATGGGCTAATCAGTGACACAGAGGCAGAAAAGCAGTGTAGGTCTGGGTCCTCCGGTCACCCCGAGTGCCGCCGCTTCTGAAGCAGTGACCCCAGCAGAGCCCGAGTCCTGTCCTTCGTCTGGAGAACAGGCACAGGGCTGGGCTGCCTCTTCAGCTAGGGCAAGACTGACTGAGCTCCAGGTGAGCACAGCGGGGACCACCGTGGGGTGCTCAGCACAACTGAAGCTGCTGCTCCCCTCACCACAGGGAAGGTACCTGCACCACCTGAAGCACACCCGATGGCCTACAGCCACAGCCACAGCCACAGCCACAGCCACAGCCGGGCCCTGCCTGCACATCTCCAGGAAGCCCTCCCAACTGCTCCCTCTTCCCTGCTCCCATAGCAGTCAGTCCCCTCCATGCTGGCACCTGGACTGACCCACCAGATGAGGTCCAAGTGTCTCACTACCTGTCTGGGGCTGGGCATGGGGCCTGTGCCACCAGTATTTTGCAGGGTGACCTCAGAATGTGGAAGAAGCTGAGACCTAACATTTCACAGCTGAGGCCACTAGCCCAGGGAGGGTGTGGGGCTCTGGCAGCTCTCCCTCCCCCAGTGTAGGTGGGGCACTCACCAGCTCAGCATCGGCCTTGGCGTCATAGTACAGGATGTCTTCCTCCTGGTGGGAGACAGACACCTTGACCCCCACAGCTTCTTACAAGGTCACCTGAAGTGCAGCCAGGATGCCTGCCCTGAGTCCAGCAACGGTCCCCTCACTCATCTCTCATCCAGAGGAGCCAGGGGGAGGGCTGTCGGGAGTCAGGCCTGGCATGCCCACCCCCACCCCAGACAAAGCCCTTCAGGGGCCCTCACAGGCTCCAGGGGGATGTGGTGCTCCAGGTTGGGTGGGGATTCCCCAGGGCTCCTGGACTCCAGGACCAGGGTCTTAGTACTGCAGCCCAGCTGAAGGGTGGGGTCAGAGCCAGCCTGTGTGCATAGACTCTGACTGAAGCACTACCGGGGTTGGAGGGTGTGTGTGTGTGGGGGTGTAGTGAGGAAGATGGGAAAACAGAGCCGAGTCTGGGCCAGAGTGAAATAATGACTCGACACCGCATCTTCCAATTTCTTCTATTAAAAAGCCTGCTCATTACGGGCATGTACTTATTAATTATCTGTGATTTGTTGTGAAATGCAAGGGGGTTTACACAACAGGAGCGGGAGAAAACAAAGCCCAGCCCCCGCGCCTGCCTCCCGGCCGCCTGCGCCTGCAGTGTTAGCCCCACACATCCCGGCCTCACCCGCCTGCCCGACGCCTGGGTTCTTGGCCATCTGCGCGTCATAATCACCGGCCACCCCGGGGACCCGTAACACAAACGGGCTAATTTCATGTTTAATGATCTTTAATCAGAACTGAGCGTGGCTGACAGAGGCCGCCAGAAGGTGAATCTGGTGCCATCGAGTGCCACCGGCTTAGGAAGGGCCATTCCACTCCTGCCCTTGTGGGCTCTAGGGTCAGGACACAGGATAAGGCCACTGTCCGAGTCACCCTCTTCCAGTGCTCCTCAGTGCTGTTTTGTACAGCAAAAGCCTGGTGCATGGCCCTGGCAGTCTGCTTTTTTGTGGTCTGAAAATGGGGGTGTTGATCAAGAAGTTTGGTCCCAGTGGTGCTCCCAATGGTCTGGCTGTAATACAGCAAGCACAGAGCCAGCGATTACTCTTTGGTGGGCAGAAGTCACCTTGGCCGCTTCTTTGCCGTGTGACCTCAGGGCTGCACTGCTCCCTCCTAGCTCAGGCTCCCCATGCTTCAGGGTGGGGCTTGGCCTTGGTGACTGCCCAGGTGCAGGGTCTGAGGCCATGGTGTGAGGTGGTCAGTATGGGGGCCTGTTGTGGGGACAGTGGTGAGTTGTCTCCCACCAGAGGTCTGGGGGCTACAGGCCACTGGCTATACCCGTAAGCATAATCCAAGCATTCTGCAACACTGACTACATGCCTGGCACCACGCTTGGGCAAGACCACAACAGCCAATGAACGTAAGACCAGAGGAGACTTGATTGCTTCCGTCACCAGAGACATCTGTGTCCAGCATTTTGCACATACGGTAATGTGGGGCTTGTGACCCCCCAACATACAGATGAGGACACGGCAGGGGTAGGAAAGGCTTCGCACCCAGGCTCCAACCTGCCTTCCTGTTGCATCTCCAACCCTTCCCACACCCACCCACCCACCAGTCCAGGAAGACTGGAGCCCAGGTGGGCCAGGGGTGGGGGTGAGGGCCGGGCCCAGGCTCCAGGGTGCTCGGCCTTTCCTTGCGCCTGGCTCCTACCGAAGCACATAATGAAAGCTGACATTACATCAAACACAATAAGGAGTTTCGGTTGATGAAGATCATTCCTGAACACACAAACCCATTAAACCGAGGGGAAAAAATATCAATTCAACACACTCGCTGGCAAAAAGAAAATGTGATTTGTTATCTAAAAGGGGGTTATAAACACGGCTCTGATGCTCTTTCCCTCCGTAATGAAAACAGGCGGGCGCGGTGGGAGGACTGCAGATTAGAACATGGGGCTTCACTCACCAACTTTTTAAGCAAACCTCCAGCAAGGACGGGAGAGGGCATGGGCAGGGGCCGGCAACTCTGGGGCCCCCAGGAGACCTGTGCTTCTCTCACAGGCTGGGCTGGCTCCTGTCTGCACCCGGGCCACCCCTGGGCCACCCTTCCAGTTGCTCCAATGGGTCCCTTTGTCTTTTTGTCCTGCTGTTTCATGGTCTCAGCAGAGAATCAGATGTTGGTGGCATCAGTGACACAGGGGGAACGTGTCATTCAGGAGGGTTCCGGTCCCCTGTGGACCATGCACAAGGCTCAGGAATCTGTATGTGGCCCTTGTGCCCCAGGAGGCAGGACCCCTCCCTACGTCTCCCACCTTGAGAGGCCAGGCCATGCCCCTTCCTTGGGAGAGAGTAGCATTAGCATGGGGTGGTGGCGGGCAAGGTCACATGTGTGAAAATACATTGTAGACACAGCTGTGGTCTCTATGCTTGATGTGATGTGGAGCTGGGGGTGTGACCATCAGGGTTGGGGTGGGAGGGTCCCTGGAAAGGCCTTTGTGTCTGCTTTGGCCTGCACAGTGCCCTGGTGTCCACCATTACTGCCCTGCCTTGGTAAGACCACGAGGAGGTGGTACCTAGTGATTACACGCAGGGGCCTTGGCAAAGGGTCCTGGCCTCAAATCCTGACCTGAACATGTGAGCTCTGGGATCCAGAACAGTGAGTGAAGACTAAGCCTGGGGCGCCTGGGTGGCTCAGTCTGTTGAGCGACCGACTTCGGCTCAGGTCATGATCTCACGGTTCGTGAGTTCAAGCCCTGCGTCAGGCTCTGTGCTGACAGCTCGGAGCCTGGAGCCTGCTTCTGATTCTGTGTCTCCCTCTCTGCCCCTCCCCTGCTCATGCTCTGTCTCTTTCTGTCTCAGAAATAAATAAACACAAAAAAATTAAAAAAAAAAAAAAAAAAAGACTAAGCCTGAAGCCTCAAAATCCCCAGCAGCTCCATAACTACCCCCGGGAGTCACCGCGATCTCATCAGTGAGGCACGGGTGCCTGTTAAATCCTGCAGCCTCAGTGAGGCTTTGCTTCAGGGTCTTGATTTCCCACTATATAAAGTCGGGATGATGATGATGCCCCCTCTGAGGGAACTAGGACAGGGAGCAGGGCCTCCCCAGGCATTAGGGCCAACCCTATGCATGGGCGGCCCTTAGGTTTGCAACTCCACAGCCCTGGGAGGGGCCTGAATGTGGAAGAAACCCTCTGTTTGTGGAGAAATGGGCATCCCTAATGTCTGGGGTTTATACCCAACACCCCTTTCTATTACCTGGTATTTTAGGGGCCATTTTGCTCAAACTGGGCAGGGGGTGGAGGGAATCACCCCTTCTGAACTCACATTTCTCCCCCGTGTGGATTTCTGTACACAGATGACACAGGAAGGGTGGGGCTAGGGGCCCACCTGGCCCTTGTATAGATGACACATACACTTTCCTTAGCTGGAGCTGAGCCCAAAAGAGAACACGAGGGGTGCTGGCAGGTGGGAAACAGGGTGAGGAAGCGAGCATGGGGAATAGCAGTTGGTGTCATTTGGTACCATGGGATACAGTGAGGATGCTTGGCCTTCCTGCCCTGGCTCATTGCCAGCTCAGCTCAGCCAAAAGGACTGTTTTCTGAGAGAGCCGTCTGTCGCCGGCTTGGCAGAGAGGCAGGCAGCAGGTCTGATGGCTGGGGCAGACTTCAGGCTGGGGAGGCCACCTGTCCTGTCCAGCCGGCTCCTCTGGCCTGGCCCAGCCTTCACAGTCTTCCTTTTAGGTTCCCAGACAGAGCTACCTGTCCCATCAGACCCCCCAGGGTAGAGCTGTGTCCGCCACTCCCAGACTCCCCAGGGTAGGACTGCTTCCTCCATTAGACTCCCAGGGCAGGACTCTGTCCTCCCACAGGTCCCGATGTTGGCATTGAGGCCTTGGGGCCAATGGCATCTCCTGCCTCTTCCACCCATGCCCTGGCCCAGCTCCTCCCTGGTGGTGGTTTAGATGGCAGATAATGCTGGCACAGTGTGGTGGTGGTGCCAGGCACGGTGTCCAGCAGGCAGGCCATCTTCATCTACCCTAAGTGTTATAGGCACCAGAGCACCTGCTGTCTGTCTGCAGGGTCATGGGAGGTGCTGCCTGCTAACAAGGACCATGGCTTTCCTGGGGTCCAAGGGCTGTGGCTACAGGTTCCCTGCCTCTGCCGCAGCCAGTATGTGGGGTCATGGCCTGAGACTAAGAGGGAAACTGGGGGCCTTCACATCCAGACACGGCTCCCTCACTCTTACCTCAGCTCTGACCTTGCAGACCCCAGGATCCCCCAAGTCCCTGGGCTGGTGTAGATGGTATGTGTATACAGATGTGGCTATACCACTGTCCATTTCTCAGAGGTCTGCATATAGACCTACTGTGTGCTGTTGACACAGGGAGGGCCACGTCCTACTGATCGTGAAGTGGATTCCATGTGCCAAGCATCTTCTCTGTGCCCAGAACTGCCGGGTGCCATTCTCCCCATCTCAGAGGTAAGAAGACTGAGGCCCAGCTGCTCTTGGCCAACTTGTCCACAGGGCACTCGACTGGGTACATGGACAGCTGGTGGGCAACACTGAATCAGGTCCAGCTGCTTCTGGCCTAGAGGAGCCTTGAGCGGGGCAGACAGATGAGCCCACTGGGATACTGGCCTGGGGCAGCGGGTGCCAATCCTAGGCTTAGAGACCAGAAAGAGGAGCCCGAGGGAGTTAACTGGAGAGGGAGAGGCATTGCTATTTTGAAGGAGGAGGAGAGGGTGTTACAGGGAGACGGCCGGGCGTATGTAAAGGGCCTGGGTTTGACACTGGGGTTGTGGCTCTCCTAGAGTGCTGGGAGGAATATGGCTCTTTGTCTGTACCTTCTGAAGGTCACTGGGAAGGACATGGTTTCAAGGGTGGGTGGTGTGCCTGCAAGGGACAAAAACACCATCCCTTTCCCAGCCTCAAGTCCCTGTGCCCCCCTGGCATGGACAGTCCCCACCTGCAGCTGCTGCCAGCTCTCACTGGCAGCCCAGGCAGGCATGGCTGGTGTGCCAGCTAATGGGCCCACCATTAGCACTTACGCCTTTCGTCCTGGCAGCTGGGGCAAGTGCAATGCTTCTGGTGAAGAACAGGGCCCTGACCCAGCAGCTGGGAAGCAGGGGTGATTACAGCTTCACCCCGCTCAAGATATAGACAGACAGGCAGACTGACGGACTGAGGGGAAGGTGGTGGTAAACACCAGCTGGCCCTGTGGTCACCCACAGCTGGGGGCATTCCAGGTCAAGCTGAAGGGAGGGGGCTGGCCAGAGCTCACTTCTGCCTCATACTAGGACAAGAGCACCCAGAGCCAGAGATGCACCCACACTGTCACCAACTTGGCATCTCTATGGCCTGACATGTGGACCTCCCCTTTCACACACCATGCCTGGGCCAGCAGGCAGCACCAAAGACCAGCTAGTCCTTTGCCAGACGGGGACACTGGAGCCCAGAGAGGGGCAAACCCTTGCTGGGCCCCACAGTTACTCAGTGTCTTAAGCAGTACTGGTCTTAGTACCCTCTGGATGCCCCTGAGACCTTGGCCTTCCTTCTTGGCAGGCCCCTGTGGTGCCCACTCTGGCTTGGGATAAACTGTTCCTGCCTCTGGGAGTAGCTGCAAATCAGAGGTCAGGAGTCTGGCAGGATGATCCTTGGAAATTTGGGGTCTTTTGCAGCGTCAGGAAAAAAATAGGTTTGGGGCCGAGGCAGCCTCTTTGTCTTCTTGTTTGGGGCCTGGACTGGGAGGGAGAGAAAACCAAGCTGAGGGTGGGTCTTTTCATTCCATCATTCCCTCTTCCTTCACTCCCAGTCCTGTCTGCTCTGCATATAGTCCTGGGTGGGGAGGGAGGATGCAGGTATGTCAGAAGCAAAGAGCCGGAGCAAGAGCTGAGGGTCCTGGATACCCAGAAAGTGGAGGAGCTGATGGCCGGGGCATGGGAGAGGCCTCCCTAAGAAGGAACAGACAAGCCGGTCCTCCAGGAGGAACAGAAGGCATTGGGTAGAGATTGGGAATGGGTCTGGAGTGAGGTGTTCAGTGTGGCTGGGGCATAGGAGGAGCTGGGTGATGAATGAGGATGACAAGGGGACAGGAACAGTCAGATCCTGGGACCCTGAGCACAGGCTGAGGGCTGGGTCCTGCAGAGGAGTTACCAGAGTGGGGGCTGTTTGCAGGTGGGGGCATGGTCTGAGTGGTAGGTGCCAGTGGCTACCACCATGTATATTTCTTTTTTAAAAAAAAAAAATTTTTTTTTTTAACGTTTATTTATTTTTGAGACAGAGAGAGACAGAGCATGA